CAAGCCTACGGTCCGCTGCCGCCCCGCAGCCCGCCGAGCTGTGACGACTCTGCTGGGGGAAGGGGAAAGAAAAAAACAATATCCATGGCATCTTCATGAAAGGTGCATGTCCTGCCCCTGCCCAGGCCTCCCCCGAGGTGCTGGGCAGGTCCTCATCGCTCACTCAGGGCCAGGCTTGCGATCTGCTCTGGCCCCGCTCGTCCCTGTCCTACAGCCCTCTGCTGCCTGCAGCCCCTAACCGGGGTGCAGGACGGTCCCTGCGGAGCCAGGCATCCCCTTGAAGCTGGGGAGATGTGCTGCTGCCTGCCAAGACCCTGCTGCCTTTTACAGGTGGCTATACGAGGGCATCAGCCGGGAGAAGGCCGAAGAGCTGCTGCTCCGGCCTTGCAACCACAGCGGATCATTCCTGATAAGAGCAAGCCAAACCAGGAAAGGTGAGAGCCCAGCACCACTGCAGCAGGCGGCAACGTGGGGCACTCAGGGCCAGAGCAGCCCTGTCCTTCCCCGCGGGAGCAGCTGGGCCACCAGGAGCAGCAGTCAGGGGTCTGTGCTGGGCCTTCATCACCCTGGGAGCTTGGCCGTCACCCTCTGCTCCATGTCCTCTTTGTGGCCAGGTGAACCCCAGTCCTCTCGAGGGGATGGTGTGGCCACAGGCTACAGTTGAACCCCAAGGGCTCGCTTCGGTGGGGCTGGGGCTGCAGCAGCCTCTGGGTTCAGGGAAGGCCAGAGCATGGCCAAAGCTTGGACTGAAGCTCCAGGGGCTCCTTGGAGGCTTTCTGCCTCAAGCAAGGCAGGGGAGTGCAGGGACCAGCGCTGTGACAGCAGCATGAGCTGGTCTGACAGGTGATGCTGCTGCGCTGGGGACAAGGTGGCAGCAGCTGGTGGGAGCAGGACAGAGGGGAGCCTCTGAGGGGCCTCCAGAGCACCCACACGTCTGGAGGCATGAGCTGGGGCACATCCAGGCAGCTACGTCCCAACCCAATGCATCGGTGCCTTCAGGGCTCGTTCCTTATACCGACAGTCTCTGTTTCACACTTTTCCTAGGGCACCGGCAGCCCTCCCGTCTGTCCAGCTGTCCCATCGGGGTGCTGAAGGCCCGAGCTGGCAGTGGGTCCCTGGGGTACGCGGCGATGCCGGGCTCGCCTCCCCAGCAGCACCCGTGCGGTTGGGCTGTGGGGCTTATCTGCCATCGCTTGCACCTGGCATGGCAACAGCCTGCCCTGCGCAGTGGTTTCCTGAGCACACGCTGTTCTCCATTTCATGCAGAGCCCTCTTCCTCCACCGCGGGGCCTCAGAAAAAGAAAAAAAAAAAAAAAAGTTTCCTGCAGCTTTTGGTTAAGCAGAGGAACGCAAAGGCCCAGCCTCCGGAACGAAACAGGGACCGGGGGG